CCTCCCTACCCCCCACCGAAAAAGAAACAAACACCAAACCCCCCCCCAAGATATTTGGGACGAGCTGCCCCTTCCCGATCCCCCGCGAGATGGGGCGGGGGGGAAGATCCTGTTCCTGTTCCCGCTCCGCCTTTATCCCTGCCCTTCCTGCCGCCCCTCCTTCTCCTGCTGCATCGCTGCGGCCGCGGGCGCGGAGCTCTGGGGTGAGCGGGGGGGAGGGGGGAAAGGGAGGGAACCGGGGGGTAGGACCCCCAAAGTGAGCGCGGGGGGCGGTGGGTGAGCCCCAAAGGGAGCTGGGGGGAGCCGGGGTTTGGGGGGCCGGTGGGCAAGGGGTGGGCTCGGGGGGCTAAGGGGAGGTGGGAGAGCGGGCAAGGGGTTCCCTTGGGGGTCCCTGGGTGTCCCCATGCCTTGATCTCTGGAGAGGGGGGGGCCCTGGAGAGGGGGGACCCCCGTTATCGCTGTGCCGAGCCGGCGGTCGGGGCCGTGCTGTCGGTTCCCGATGCCGGGCGGCTGAACAAAGAGCCCGCGGCCGTGTCCGGGGGCCCGATCCGCTCCCTGCTCTCGGTGCCCTGGGGCAGCCTCTGGTGTCCCCCCGGCCGTGGGGGCGTTTTGTTGGCTCGGGCCCAGGCGGCCCTTGTTTGGGGCTGTGGGCTGGGGGCTGTTGGGGGTCCGGGGTGGGTGTTTTGGGGCGGTGTCGGGGTGGGTTGTGGGCAGAGCCCCGTGGGTGGTCGGGGGGCTTTGGGTCCCCCCCCTTGTTGGGGGTTGGTGTTGCTGGGTCAGGCCCCTTTGGGTCCATTGTGAGCCCGGTGTGGGCGGGGGGGGCTGGGCCGGGGGAGCCGGAGGGAGCCGAGGCAGCGGGTTTGGGGAGCCCTCGGGAGAGCCGGGGGTGGGGGGAGGAAGGGCGGGAGCCCCGGAGTGTGGAGAGCGGAGCGGGGCGATGGCGGAGCTGGGGGACCCCCGGCAGGCTGGAGGGGGGAGCAGGGAGAGGGAGGAGCCCCGGGAGGCTGCAAGGGGGGTCCCGGAGAAGGGGGAGCCTGGGCGGTGGTGTGAGAAAAATCTCATTTATTGAATTTAAAAAGACGGCAAAAGTTTGCAAAACAAAAAGAATAAAACGAAAAGGAAAAATTACAACACGTGTTGGGTGTCCGAGGCACGCAGGATTCCCAGGAACACACCCTCCAATTCCAAAGTCCCGCTTTTTAAACATTCTTAAGGTTCAACCCCGTTACGTCCTAGAAGAGGCGTTCCCCTCTCCCTGCTTGGCTGTGTCGTGCTGGCAGCTGGAGTGTCCAGCAGCACGGCAGCTTCCAGGACCAGCCATGTGGTCTAAGGGGTTTCCTTACCAATATTCATTTTACAGTTCCCTATTCCCGTTCACATGTTTCCCTGACACCGGTTCCAGGCTGAATCCGGCGTCTTACAACTCCGCGATCCACCTTATAGGTTAGTAAAGAAAAACTCTTACATTAGTGATTTGTTTAATTCATTTGCTTGTAATAAAACCGATTCTTTATTTCTCGCAGTGGGGACCCCTGGGATCCCCAGGACAACAAAGTGGAGAAGGCGGAGAGGGGGAATGTGTGGGAACCCGGCCCCCTGAAGCAGAGAGTGAGGGGAGAAGGGACCCCTGGGACCCCCAAAAGCCCCGGCATCCCTAAGCGGGACCCCCAGCAGCCCAGAGAGGGGAGACCCCAGAAGGTAAAGGTGCAGAGACCAGAGAGAGGGAACTTCTGGGAGGGTTTTTTTCAGCTGAATCTTCATATTTTGGAGTATTCTTTTGCTGACTCTTCATCTTTTGCAGATTTGTGGGGAGTTTTGGGATTTTTTTTTCCCAAACGTAAGTGTTTTCTTTTTTTCTGGTCTAAATCTTAGTGTTTTGTGGGTTTTTATGGACAGAAGATGCCCGGTGAGTTCTAGAGCTGGACTTGGGCAGGAGGAACCCCCAAGGCAACGCGCTCACCCCTTGTTTTCCCCCCCATCAGGATTTCTGCTTCCCAAAGCTTGGTGGGATGGAGGAGGAGGCTGCGAGGAAGAGGAAGATGCCGCGGGCCCCC